CTTGGTAGTAACTCTTCAGTCACCAATAATCTGAGATACCTCTGTGTATAAAAGAGCCAATCAGTCAATCATCAATCAAAAACAAGAAAATTTAAAAAAACCAACCCAGAACTCCTTACAGATTTTATTAGGTTTTCCAGATAAAAACCTAATTTAGTAGAAATGAAAACATGCTTGCCTGGGCTGTGCAAGCTCAATAAAATGAATATAGCCAACAAAACTAAACTCTTACATGAGTACAAGTTTTAAAGTCTACTCATACATATCATTAAGTAGTTCCATAATATGTGAGCTTTTTATTTGAGGTTCTATTGAATTATAGATATTAAATGCTGTGCTTTTCAGCTGATTCATTGCTGAACAGAATTTAGAGGCAGGTGCAGATCTGAATAGGCTATCATATTAAATTAAACAGAATTTTACAAAATAATTGTTCTTGAAGAAAAAGCAACTGCTCTGAGCCAAACATTTCCCAGTACAGTTCTATCCCAGACTGCAAGGAAGTTACACTAGTCATGGAATTGTGCTTGTCACTCTGAGGTTACAAGGCCTGTAACTCTTAGCAAGAAAAGGCTTATTTGTCCTTGTGATTTACCTTATATGGCAGAGTTGCTACTTGTATTTTACTTTTCCTTCCTTCTAGGGCTAGATCTGATTTCCTAAAACTTTGTTGCAATGGGAACATTTTCATGAAAAATTCAAGTGATTTATCTTGTCTTCTTTTTGCTTAATGTCCTAAAGCAACAGTTAAATGAATTATGCAATGGTAGTGGTGGGACAGAATGCATAAATATTTAGATTTCCCAAATGCAAAATAATTTATGTTACTTTTAATGAGTTAATGTATTTTTGCATATTTTATCTCCTAATTGAATCTATTTGATTTCTTATCTCAAAAATAGACAAAAATGATCTTTGTTTTCCTAGCAGTGGCTCTACAGACCACTCAAGATGCACAGATGAGGTTTTGCAAACTTTATGACCTAGACCCTCTAAGTTGGCCAAGTTTGCTGTGCTTCACAGTACATGCATGATAGTCTGCCAGCTGGTGCTGTAGCTCCTTGTCTGCAGATAAAAATGTGGGTCTTTATTTCAAAATCATCATAAGGATTTTACAAACCAACTGGGTCACACATGCATAATTGTGAACAGATGTTGTCCACATGTGTGCATTCCTTTGTGTGTTAGAACATTTGCTAAGTGTTATTTAAAACTGGAGTTACAACACTCCTTCACTAGTGGCCTGGTAATTAAAGCTACTGAAGATGTGCTTGGCTTGGCTTGATCTAGACTTCAGAGCACCAACCCGTCTTCCAGAGAGTCCTGTACTGCACTGTCTGTACTGTTTGGTGTGAAGAGCCACAGATGTTAAAGAGCAGTTGTTGCCCACAGTGTTGCTTTGTGCGTTACAGTGCTGGGAGATGCTGAGATGGATTTTCTCCAGTGGTGAGAGCTTTGTGGCACACAGTGTCAGCATTAGGACCTGGAAAGCAGCATTCACTGATGCATGCTCCCATTGAAACTAACTTTTCCACAGAATGAGCTAGCTGGACTTGCAGTCATGAAAACCAGCACATGCTTTCTCCACAGCTTGCTCCCTTCTCCAGAGATGGTCTGTTCAGTAGGCACCAGGGCGATGAGCAGCACTTGCTTAGCACCCTCATAATAAGGGAAAGTGTCCTTCTCCTTGTTTGACTGTTGTTTCTCTTCCTATTTGCAGATTATTACAGGTCTAAATTCTCTTTTCTGGCCTTCCAGGTCCCGTTGTAACACACGACATTACCAGCTATCACACAATGTTTCTTTTGGCAATTTTAGGAGGGATGGCTCTCATACTTCTAGTCTTGCTGTGTCTGCTTTTGTATTATTGCAGGTAAGATTCACCATCCTGGTTACTTAGTTCATGTTGAAAACACAAGCTTTTTTGTGCTTATGAAATTAAAAACTTTGGTATTGAAACATTTTCCTTTGAGGGAAAAAAGGGCAAGGAAATGCTTGAAAAAGAAAGAAACAGTGAATCAAATTTCCTGTGTTCCTGGTTACATGCAGCATATAAATGCCCCCTGCCTTTGGGAGGATGGTAGTTGAGTGAATCACACACATCTGTACCTGTGTTCTCCATGTGATTTCCTATCAAACATGGGCATAGGTTCAAGATCTGTCTATCTGTTACGCATTTGCAAATGATCTTTCTGTTGACGTTGTATTAAAATGAATGTTAAATTATCAGCAAATGCCTACTAATGAGTGATTTTATACTTGCCTTCTCTAGACATTTACTCCAGTTTGTAATTGGTACTTGAGATATTTCCCAAATGACATTAGTTATTCTTTAATTTTATCTTGGCTGCTGGGATAAGCTTTTAATTTTGAGATTATGTAATAAAAGTTCAATTCCCTTAATACTAACCATTGCTTAAAAATCTTCTGTTAAGACACACTTGCTTCTCTTGTTTCTGTGTACAACATTCATAAATTTATAACTTCTTTTGTTACTGGCTTTTATAGAAGAAAATGTCTAAGACCACGTCAACATCATAAGAAACTGCAACTTCCGACAGCACTGGACACTTCTAAGAAGGATCAAGCAACCTCAATGTCCCATATAAATTTAATATTTTCACGTCGTGAGTCAGAATTTCCAGGTGGATTGTCTGTTGCTAGCAATGGACATGCTGAAAACTCAGGGGCAAAGGAATTAATCAGTGCTGTCCACATGGAGATGGTATCTCCTACTGGAGAAGCAGATATGCATACACCTATGCTCAAACACTCCTTCAGTACTTCCCAGGAGTTTAGCTCCCGAGAGGAACTGCTCTCTGACAAGGAGAAAGACAAGAGCAGAATTTCCTTGGATGACCTGACTCCCAGTGGGTCTCTAAGAAAAGACTACCACAAGTCAGCAGATAGTTTTCCTCTAAAGACAAGAAAATCTACAGAAACAGCTGAAGGCTATGAGTCCCCTATCAAAGAGGAGTATAGGAGAAGTTACAATGCTATGCTGTCTCAGCCTTTATTTGAAAAGCAAGAGAGAGAAATTCAAGTATCTATGAACCATATTGCTACTGGAAGTAAATACAATATTCAGGAACAAATATACCCCACACCTTCAGCCCCTGAAAAAGAGCTGCTGGACTGCAGACCTACTGATTGTATGATGTCTCGTTCAGTTGATCACCTTGAAAGACCTACATCTTTCCCTCGACCAGGTCAGTTAATCTGCTGCAATTCTGTCGACCAAGTCAATGACAGTGTTTACAGAAAGGTTTTGCCTGCACTGGTCATCCCAGGTCATTACATGAAGCTGCCTGGAGAACACCCTTTTGTTAGCCAGCCCCTGGTTGTCCCAGCTGACCAGCAGATTGATATAGAAAGACTTCAGGCTGAGCTTCCTAACCCTCACGCACGGCTCTTCCCACACCCTGCCCAGCAGCTGCAGCCCCAGCAGTTGGCATCTCAAGCAATATCTCAGCAACATTTGCAAGATGCAGGTGCAGCTGAGTGGAGTCAGCAAAACGCTTCCATGTCTGAATCTATTTCCATTCCTGCCTCTCTTAACGATGCATCCCTGGCTCAGATGAATAGCGAAGTGCAGCTTCTTACAGAAAAGGCTTTGATGGAATTGGGAGGTGGGAAGCCATTGCCTCACCCTCGAGCATGGTTTGTTTCTCTAGACGGGCGTTCCAATGCTCACGTTAGACATTCATACATTGATCTCCAAAGAGCTGGTAGGAACGGGAGTAACGACGCCAGTTTGGACTCCGGTGTTGACATGAATGAACCGAAATCTGCCCGAAAGGGAAGAGGAGATCATCTGTCTGCACCTCAGAGTCACCCCGCAGTGCAGGAGCACCAGCAGAGAGAGCGCAAGGTTTCAGACAGCACAGCTTACACACAGCTCGTGTACTTGGATGACATGGACCAAAGTGGCAGCGAGTGTGGAACAGCCGTGTGCAGCCCTGAGGACAATGCTCTCCGGTGCCTCCTGGAAGGCACCAGTAAGAGAAGTGGTGTGCAGCTGCCCAGCCTGCAGGAAGAAACCAGAACTGTGGATACCAAACCAGAGCCATTAACTAGTCCTGAACATGGAACATCCGTTCAAGATGATGATGATGAAGATGAGGAGGATGAGGAAGATGACCAAGGGGAAGATAAGAAGAGTCCTTGGCAGAAACGAGAGGAAAGACCACTAATGACTTTCAATCTAAAATGAGCTATTGTGAAAATCCACCCTTCAGTGGAGTATAAAATTGCCAAATATCCTTTCTGTGGAAGTGCTTGATATTTTTTTCTTTTTTTTTCTTTTTTTTTTATATTGTGGAGAGAAAAGAGAAAAACAAACTGTGGTGAGCAACATTTGAAAGAACTTAAATGCATTACTGTGTAAATGTTAGAAAAGAATTAAAATCATTCCTCTGATTTAACAGCTGCCTCCAGTGAGATAGCTGAACAAAGAGTGTGATTGTTATTCCATATACTTGATATTGGTCATCCAGGATGTTGAAAATACTGACAAATTGTTTTGGTTGATTTATGACCTCAATCTCCTTATGAATGGGAGCTGGTAAAGCTTTTGTTTTGTAGGCCAATTTTATGTTGATAATGCTACTGAAAGTATCTTAAAAACAGGAGTTTGACACATGGTGTCCAAAATTGTGCATTATCTCAATGAAAGGCTATGCATTGCTGCTTTTAGTAATATTTTGCTTATACTATGCTTTTCTTAATTTTACAAGTTGGTTGTAAACATATTATGTCCTTTATTATAAACTACTCAGCAATTTATTTTAATGTACAACTGCAGGAAACTTGGGTAGCATCCCTTAGCATTGAAGCCTTTTTATGAAACCAAACTGAACTTTGTGTCGACTAAGATTCCTCCAATTCTGGTACCATTTTCTCAAAGTGCCTTTTTTACAGTAACAATGAACAGTCCCTTCTTTTGCTAAGTCCTTTTAATTGACCCCATTTGAGATTTTATAAACTTCTGAACTTCTACCTTTTATTTTAAGCTGCATGCCAAGAGTCCCATTTTGTGCTGAGCATTTCTCATTTCAATACAGTGTATTCTGTAGCTATCATGTATATTGTGGATTCTGTTTAGCCAGGATAGACTTAGAAGACATTTTAAAGGGCCCAGAGTAGCCAAGAAGATAGTTTCAGTGACTGTATATATTGTTAGTTTCCTCTGGAATCCCATGAGCTAATCATGCTCATATAAAATGGACTATCGACCGAGCAAGTGGACTGAATGTGTCTAAAAAAATAGGGGAAAAAACAAATGTACTATCCAAAAGTGCCAGATTTGCTCTTCTGTGCTTTTTCCATACAGAGCTGCTTGGTTATCCAAAAATTATAATTGAAAATAAACTGCAAAAAGTATCTTTGTGGATTTTTTTTTTCCTCTGTTAGTGGTTATCACATTATTTTATGGTATTTAAAAAGAAAAATACTTTGGTTTCATTTTTCCTATGCTCGTGTGACTTACTTTCTTTTGCAGTTCTCATGAGCTTAAGTCAATACTGAAATTTAGACCCCTTTTCAAAAAAGCGTCCTCTGTATCTTGATAAATATGTAATGATTTGCTCAAGTATCACTGAAGACATTGGAAATGAAATCCTGGTATCACCAAATTTCCTGTCTGAAGTCACACTTCCCATGGGCCAGTTTCCTTCCTGAGATTTCTGTGGGTACTCACACTTACTGCCCTCTTCTCACTTTTTCATGAATTGGGTTCAAAGAAGAGGAAGTATGAGACTTCTACTTTTGTAGAATCCTTTGTATACATTCAGTTTATCATGTTTTATTCAGTCATTTTTATGCAGATTAGCAGCAGTCATGCTTACTAAAGTTAATACATAATCTCCAAAGTAATTTAAGTGCTATATAGTTCCTATTTAATTTGTAATAATAAGCCCCCAACTCAAATTCATTGCTTTATTTTCAGTAAATTTCAAGGTTTTCAGAGTCTTGTAATTTCCATATTACCGTAAGTCTTACTTGGGAGCCTGATCTCTAGCCAGGAGTTGAATCCTGATTTCCTAGTTCCCAGGTCAGTGCTCCTTTCCATCCACAAAGCCAGATCACCCTTTGCTTTGGTTCATGTTTGGAAGTGGTATATGTTGTAAAAGGAATCTAAAATATTGTGGAGTGCATTGAATATTGATATCACCGTATTAGCACTAAATTGCATTTTTACTCATTGTGTATGTGGCAGGTCCTTTCCTGTCCTGTTTTGGAATTTTGTACTGACCACCTGTGAATTGGTTTTGGGCTCTGGGTTACTTATTGTCAGTTTGTGCAAGGTCACTGAACAGAAAAATATGACTTTAAGGGCATAGTATTTATCAGATGTTAGTAAGTGCTGGTAATACAGTGTCACTTATTAATCAGAATGCTGCATAAGTAAACATTCTGAATAAAATTTCTGCATACTAGAATTATTGTGCTATTTAATTTCCAGTTTTCTGTTGTCTTAAATCTGTCATTTTTAATTACATTCTTTTTTTCACATTCCTTTGCAAAGTTTCCATCATTGCTATCTTGTAAAGTGAGATTGTTGCTATTAAATTGCAGTGGTTTGTTTCTTTAATTGTGTTGGTTTTATGTTCGTTTGATGATTTGTGGTTCTAATACAGCAAATATACTTGAACAAACACCATGTCAGTATGTTTGAAATCTTTAAAAGAGCGTTTTTTATTTGGTTTGATAGTTTAATTTTGCAAAATACATAGTTTACGAAATGGATTTCTCTATATCCACACCTGGGCCATATGCTAAATGAAGCTAGAAGAGAGTTAATGCAGTTCAGGTAACAGGTTAAGATTAAGATTAGAGTAGGTTATGCCTAATCTAAAAGTCCAGTGATAAATTCCATGTTTTAATTTTCAAAAACTTACTGATGCAGATACATCAGTAAAATACAAAGAGATTTTCTCGCTTGTATATTGCACTTGCACAGTGAAGCAAGTACTAATAAAGCTAATAAAACACAGAGAACAAAGTATAACTTGAATAGGTCATGGCATCAGCAGCTCCAAGTCCATGTAGAAGATAACCTAGAAAAGCAATTGTTTTCTTATTTTATGATGGCAGATATTAATATGGAAAAAATGCAAGTTTTTAATGACAAAGCTTACAAAAATAATGAAAATATGTTTGTCTTAAAAAAATACTAGAAACAAATCTTCAAAGTTCAGGTTCAGAGACTTTCTGAAATGTTAGCAATGTTGGGAGTTAATACACTCACTAAGAGTTCCCTCAGCTCCCACTTTCTTCCTGCTCCAATACTTCCTTCTCAAAGCTTCTTAAACTGTCTGTAAAGCACCTTGACTTACTGTGATAATGACCTCTTACTGCTCGATTAAGTGCTTTGTCAGGGAACCAGCAGCTAAATCCCCTGCAAATACAGGGACAAGAACTGGTCACTGCCTCGGAGCATTTGCAGTCCAACATATTAGACAAATTATACAGACCTGTGGTTCTGATCTGAGATGAACAGATTACAGAGGAAAGCCCAGCTTTTGGAAATGGCTCACAATGCTTTTCTTTGTTACAAGGAGGATTGAGTAGCTTTAGTAGAGTGAATCAAGCACTGTTGAAATACCTTGGCAATATTTTCATTTTCTGCCCTTCATTCTATTCATGAATGCTCTCAGGGACCAATTTTATCTCACTATTCTGAACCAGTATGTTTGAAATTGGTAAGAAACCAAATGTTCTATGCAGGCTTTAGCCTACAGAACAGCACAGGTATAAGTGAGCAAGTGTTGGATGAGATATTTACTCTTACTCTAGCTAGGTCTGTAATTAAGCAAAAAGGCTTTTTTTTTTTTTCTTAACAAGAATTCATCTGGGAATTAAAATTTATTATAAGACAGTAGTCAACTATCAGTAGTCTGTAACTTGGAGCATGGTAGGGTCCATGCAGTACATCCTTGGACTTGGTCAAAAAAGAGCATCTGTTTACCTTTCTAAAATTCATGTGCAACAGATAGGGTTTTCCTGAATCAGTGCTGCCGTTTGGTCTCCAGCATTTGAAATCCAAGTTGTGGTATCTGCCACCTGGTGGTGAACTGCTTCTCCAGACGAGCTGTGTGTGAAGCAGTTTGTCATTTCAATAAAAGCACAGTTAACAACTTCAGTAACACCAGTAATGTCCTGGGCCTGCTGTCAGTGCAATGCACAGATCCTGTCAGCTGAGAGACCTTGCCCAGCCCCTTTGCTGGGGACTATCCAGCTTATGACATCTCCATTCAAATCAAAATTCATCATCACTGATGGCTCTGTATTCTGCCTTGTGAATAGCACCTTGGGTTTAGAACAAAATAAAATAAACCCAAATTTAACTATTGTTTCCTAAGTTGAGGAAAATAGGAGCAACTCAATTATTCTTTCCCATTCCTCTGCTAACAGACAGAAAAACTGGCAGGTTCAACACTAATGCTTCATAATGCTAACCTTACTATGTGTATGTATGTGTGTGTGTGTATATATATATATATATATATATATATATATATATATATATATATATATATATACACACATAATTTATAATATATATAATAATATGCAATATTATATGCCATGATAGGTACATACATACACTATATTTTCATCATATGTTCTGTTTTCATTTCCATGCTGTAAAACAATTGGAATTGGAGCTTCAGATGAACAAATAGGCAGCTGTCAAGTGCAATTTTCAGAAGAGAGTAGTATTTTTTTATTACATTTACTCATGTAATTCCAGCTGTTAAATTGAGACCAGGTACCATCTTCTTTTTGTCAGTAATAACAGAAAGGGTGTCTAGTTCTTTTCAGCTGTAATCCTCTGGTATCCACAGGTATTTACTTTGCAAACTGTGGCACCTGGTCTATTACCACTTAACTGAAGTATTTCTTGTTTTATTGATGTGTTTTTCTCCTAGGAATGAACAGTGCCAGTTAGTTTGTTTGATCATTAAATAGCTATTCTGCCTTAGAAACTTACAGGCACGGGGAAGGAAAATGTGATGACAACAGGGAGGTACAAATGAAATACTTGTTTACAGGTTATTTTTGTAATTTTGTAGAGAAGGACTTTGTGTTCACAGGACTAGAAAGACAGACTCCTCAATAAGCCAAACAGAGGAATGCTCCTGACATTTTTATATTATAAAGGGATGAAATGGTGCTTAAAATAATGCTGTGAGATGAGAAATCCCACTTTCAAAGGAACCACTGGTCCTGCTGCAAGAGAGGTTGGGCATCAAAACAGAAAGAATTTATTTAAAGTGGGTCCTGTTACAAGCACTGTTTTTAAAAGGGTTATGTTGATTTAGTGGTTGTAGGAAGATCAAAAAGCCTGGAGATGAGAGAAGCTATAGGCCTTGGCTTTTGTATCCTCTCTCTTTAAGTAATCCCCCTTCTATAAACCCAACTCCCTGATTCTGCTTTCAGTTTTGTACCATGCTGTGAGGCCACACATCAATGGGACATACAATGTGACACCCTAAGATTAGACTTGTCAGTGAAGCTACTTTTAGTTGTTGGTGAGGGCAAGCTTTCTTTGTATCTATGCTATTTGCTCTAACTTTTATTTAACATCTTGCAACCCTGCATTAAATAATAAAATACAAATGAGAGAAGCAAAACATCATAGCCAGGTTCCCCCAATGAGAAGTGTATTTGTCTTGGCAGATGAATTGGTCTTTCATTCCTTGAAATCCTTGAAAGTACACTTAGATAAGTGTGTGCATGCACATGTGCATGGATACACCTTCACATGGATGCACATAAGTGCACTTGATACAAAAGCTGGCTTAAATACCAGTTCCAGCATTTCAACATCAAGCAATGGCCAAGTGAGGGTTGCTCATCCAGACTGACTGGAAAAACTGGCATAAGAGCCCATAAAGGCTTGGATAATTAACTTAATTGTCCTTGTAGTCTGACATTGCAGGGTCAGAACCATGCTGATGCTGAGTTTCTGCTCTACCTCCAACTTCCAAGAGATTTATTCACACTTGCCTTCTAGCCTAGACCTGATGTATAAATTTTGTAATTAAAGCTTATCTAGTTTCTATATTTTAAGTAAGTTACTCTGCAGTTGTTGCACACTTGACAGAGTCTTTTCTTTTGCACAGAGTTGTAAAATTCTGATGGGTAAAATCTTACCATAAAATCTAAAAAAACTCTGAATAGAAATTGAAGACTTATAATAGAGTCTGATTTTCCATGGTCTTCATAGGAAGATACTATGTCTATGAGACACTTCTTAATTCAGTGTAATTCTCCATGCCATAGGTGTGCATCCTGAACCATGCTGTTAATCTGTTTCTAACCACCCACAAGGCACATCTGTCACAGGAAAGAGTTCTTTTGTGTTTGCGGGTAAAGAACTATCTGAAACAGACAAAAAGAAAACTAAAAACATACATTTTGAGAAAACTATTGAAATGGTCAAGAGATAAAGAATAATTCATGTATCTAGCTCTCTCTTCATTCAGAATGAAGGAAATAAAACCTCCTTTCAAAGAGAAAGAAACAGCAGGCACATTGATAGGGAGAAGTGTAAAAGGCTAGTGGGAGAACTGATTGCAGAGCTGATGGGAGTAAATTGGATTGATTTGGAGATTGGATGGGCAGAAGTAATTGCTGAGTATCAGTCAGGGCTCCTGCAGTACCTGTGTCATCACTGTCTTTATCAAAAAATCTGTCACCACTAATTCTCATTCATATACATAGTTTGAGAAGGGTCTCAGAATAAAAATAGACATAAAAAGGCAAAATAATATTTATAATAATTATTTAATTGTCACTCTTATTATTAGGGTTTTTTTACTTTTTGGAGCTAGAGACCCTAGGATCTGAGGAACTGAGCAGTGCTGTAACAAGTTTGAACCTGTGTTTGATGTAAGTCTTGTATCCTGCTTCCAACAATCATCAAAAACAGATGGTTTGGAAAATTGAAATCTCTACTAGCAATAACAGTCTTTCTATCCTCATCACTCATATCTTTAAGCAAAAAGTTTGTATTTATCATACACTTTTTTAATGCTCTGATTTGTTTTCACTATGCATGTGAATGCCTAACCCTCTTTAGTGCTGCACAGCCCACAGCCCTTGCCAATGCAGACACCAGCATGGAGAAGTTCTGTGCAAAGGTAAGCTGTAAAATAGAAGAGATAAGGTATGAGCTGCATTTGAAAATGGAATTTTAAAAAGCTGAAGGAGAATGCAGCAGAAAGAATGGGATGCTTTGAGAATGCTTGTCCCCACTCTGAGCACTGCAGCCAATACAGGCCATCAGCAAGCAGGCTGTGACAACAGGCAAGTTCCACAAGCAGGGAATGCAGGGGGGCTGGAAAGAGCTGCAGTGGGTGAGACAAAGATCAGAGCTGTGATCTCACATGGATACAGGTGTGCAACATGTGGGATCACACGCTCATCTCCTTCCCTAACCATTTCTACTTCTGCTGTTGTTAACTGTAACAAGTATGCAGAGTGTTTTGGTGCATTTTTTCTGTTTATTTTCGATCTTATTCTTTTACACTTGCCTCTCATTCAGAATTGAAGAAGATAGTATTTAAATTTACACCATAAAGTGCAGCCAATTAGAAAAACAATGTGAGGTAGTAGTAGTAGACACTTGAATGAACCAAAGTCTAAATATATTTGTTTACTCAATAATTTTTTTAATGTTAATTAGAAAAATAGGAGAAACACTAAAATAATAGCTAATTTTCAAATTGGACCCATTTTGCTTCCAATTTACAAGATTAAAAATGGTTACACCAAGTTGTTACTTGCAATCCAAATCCATTTAAAATTATAAATGCCATGAATATTTCAATGTGGTGTGTAAAGGTAGGAGCAGTCCTATGACTGCAAGAAAATTTTAGATACCTTTCTTCTGCAGTGTTTAATAATCAAAACACATAGACTAATCAGGTGATGCCAACAGCCTGAATGCTGGATTATATATCACCAGCTCACTGGGATGTAGTTAATGTGTTGCTAGGCAGGTAAACAAGTCTGGGTTATGCCTGGCTGCTTGAGAGAAACAATATCTGTGCCTGGCTGGCTTTATTCAGTCACAGAAGAGCAAGGAGAAGCATGGTACAACCCTGCCCACATACTGCAGAGTCTCACCTGATGGTTCATCCAGTCCCTGTACTGGGAATTAAGGCTTCCCATTCTCCAGTATTTCTTACTGCCAAGCAGAGATGGCTCCTCCCTCAGTGTCCTGGGGTTCTTGTGAGCTCATGTTGGCCACCAAGATGCCCAAGGTGTTTGAGTGCTTGTAGGGTTTCATTTTGAGCCCTGGAGTTTCCTCTGGGAGTCAGCTAGGAAAAAGTTAAACACAGCAATGACAAAGTCCATTTGTGCATCTGGACCTATGCTCACACATGCATCTGAGGTGGCTCAAAGCATCTCTGAAATGTAGACACAGGTTAATTTTGTGTAGCTATGACAGAACCTTGACTGCCTCTCTTAGGGAGAACTGGGGAGAGACAGAATGTGGAAAGAGCCAGAAAGCTGAGATTGAGGGTGGGTCCCCCAGACACTGCTGTGTTCTTTGGTGGCTGGCATTAGTGGGAGCAGCAAGGCAGAGCTAGATCTGAAGATTTGCTTTTCTCTCTTCATTACTTCCAATTTGTTGCCATAGCTGGGTATTTTGTCTGCATCTAGCAGCACACCAAGAGTCACTACTAAAGCTCTAAGGACATCCATGAAAATACCCAACTGATGAATACTTCATGACATGCTGCAAATATTTTAATTGATTTCATGATATGCCATTTAGTATTAAGTGAAGTGTATCTCCTGCAAAGGAAGTCTATTTTCCTTTGTTAATAATTTTTCAGCTTTTGTGCAAAATGACTGTGCTTTCTTCTTTTCAATCTTCATAAAATAAAAGGCTTTTGCTTTTATCTTCCTTGTACATCTAGGAAGAGGTCTTTTTAATCAATTAAAACCAGTAAGTTTGCATTTTACAAGCACAAGCTCTTTACCTGTTGAAGTTGAAACATTTCTGATGGTTTCTGATGGTCTGCTTAGACTGGTGTGCGTCTGTGGGTTGTGTCTGCAGTACTGGCATGCAGCATTTTGGGGGTTCCTGGATATACCCACATGAACAGCAGATATGTTGGAAGTACAGATGCCCACAGGGAGCCTTTTCGGGCACTGCAGGTGCCACGTTTGCTGCTGGCTGCCCTGATGTTTCATCCTCCAGTAACTCTCTGTGGCTGAGCATCTGGGGTCATGAAATTCAAAGATACATTTTTTCACCTTGCTGCTCTATTTTCAGAAGACAACTACACATGTGATAGCCAGCATCTATCAAGTAGTGTAACTGCTGAGCAGTGTCTGCAGAGTAAATTTAAATGCTCTGGGAATATGTCTCATAATTTCAGAAATGCAAAGCTACCTCAGAAATCCACAGTGCAGGAGAGGTGCTTAACTCTCACTTTTGGTGAACTTCTCTACTTGTGGTAAAAGCAAAAGTTACATTTTCATGAAATGCAAAGCACAATCCAGTGCTGTGCTTTGACCTTGCAATGGTCAAACCTGGATAATAATCTCAGGATATCAACTGCACTGAGTTTAAGGTTACTCTGCACTTCACACGTGCTACAAAGTAGAGAATAGCAGCCACTGTTCAGCTACAGTCCCCCTTCCAGGAGAATGCCTAGCAGGGCAGCTTGCTGGGAGAAATTCATACTGCCTCTTTAAGTGACAATATGAAATGCAAGAAGAGTCAGGATCTAGGCCCCTTCTACTCCATTTGTCTCAATGAAGTAAGGAAAATTGCAATAAAGGAAAGAAGACAGTGAAATTTACAGCTTCTCCAACGCAGTGATTCAATACAGCTCTTTAGTCATTGACCTACTGTTCTTCACTTCCTCTTACACATTATTATGAGGGGAAAAAATAATTCATAATCACTGGATTGATTAACTTCTCTCCAGGCTACAGGAAAACTTTACAGTTGCTTTTTGTTATTGAAAGCTATTGGGTATTGTGCCTTTGTTTTGAGATTTCCTTTCTCTTCTATGCATTACAACTGAATGAAGGTTTACTCCTACAGATCATTTCAGAGTGGAGTGACACGATAGAAACATTTCCCTCTAAACTACAGCATGGGCTTGACACTGGGAGGTCATACTTGGCCAAGTGTAAATTACAGATTCCATTTCATGCATTTGAATCACAAGTTCTTGTGGCATCTCACAAGTTGTAAAGGACCAAGTGCAGTGGGACGAAGGGTGGCCCCAGGCTAGTGCTGAGATGGAAGGACATTTAGCTTTCTTCTGTTAGGGCAGCAAGATCTTTTACTTGACAGTCACCTGCAAGACACGACAGAGCAAAATATGATGCCACCTCAAATCAAAAAGGGAAAAAAGTAATCCAGATCAAACCTTAAATAGGGCAGAAGCAATAGTTTCCTCACATTACATTGCTTTCACGGGTGCAAAGATAAGGAGAAATTACAACTGATGCACCCTGTTCTTATGTTTTAATGTGGTGTTTGGCAGCACTGTCAAACCAAGAACTCAGAAAATCTGGATCTCATTCAGAAAGCTTGATATGACCCTGGAAATCGTGACAGTTCAAATACTGAACACAAGTTGCTCTTTATTTGTTTTCCTGGTATAAATCATTACCACTCAATTCCAGGTTTTGTAGCATGGAGCTTGTAGAAATACAAAAGGCCTTGGGAAAAGTCTAAGTGCTGTGAGCGCCCACCAGTCATAGTGCTGGGATTGCCCTGGTGGCCTCAGCAGCCTCCACCAGCAGCAAATTTTGTTCATAGAGCTTCATTTTGAGTCCTGAAATTTCCTTTGGAAGTCAGCTAGGAAAAAGTTAAACACAGCAATGACAAAGTCCATTTGTGCATCTCGACCTATGCTCATACATGCATCTGAGGTGGCTCAAAGCATCTCTGAAATGTAGACACAGGTTAATTTTGTGTAGCTATGACAGAACCTTGACTGCCTCTCTTATGGAGAACTGGGGAGAGACAGAACCTGGAAGGCAGAAAGGGGAAAGAGCCAGAAAGCTGAGATTGATGGTGGTGTGGTGGGTTCCCCAGACACTGCTCTGTTCTTTGGTGGGTGACATTAGTGCGAGCAGCAAGGCACAGCTAGATCTGAAGTAATTTATTTGCTTTTCTCTCTTCCTTTCTTCCAATTTGTTGCCACAAGCAGCTGGGTATTTTGTCTACATCTAGCAGCACACCAAGAGTCACTACTAAAAGCTCTAAGGAGACCTATGAAAATAACTCGGGCGTCCGAGTGTTTATGGTGCGAGAAGGAAACGCGGGAAGCCGGCAGGACGCGCTGCCGAGGCCCGGAGCTGCAGGCCCAGTCCCAGGGGCTCCGGGCCGGACCCGCCGGGGCTGCGCTCGGCTCTCCCGCGGCTCTGGGGCAGCGCCACGGACGGGATCCCCAGGCCGCACAGGGCCGGCGAAGCAGCGCGGATGCCGGCATGAGGGGGCCAGTGCGGGGCTGGGCCCGGGAGCGCACGGTCCGAGCGTACCGGGCTCGGCAGGGCCGGGCTGGGCAGGGCAGGGCAGGGCAGGGCATGGAGCGCTCCCCGCCCGGCCCCGCCCCGGTCCCCGCGGGGTGGCGGGAGCGGCCGGGCAGCCCCGGCGGCCGCCGCCTCCTCGTTCCCCGGCTTTGGCGCGGGGAAGGACCGCAGCTAGAGGGAGCTGCTCCGGACCGCGTCTGCCCGTGCGCCCCGGTTCTTTCACAGGCTCCCCCGCCCCTTCCCTCCCTCCTTCCCCCGTGATGGCGGAGGACAGCGAGTCCGCGGCCAGCCAGCAGAGCCTGGAGCTGGATGACCAGGACACCTGCGGCATAGACGGCGACAATGAGGAGGAGACCGAGCACGCCAAGGGGTAGGGGAGCGCTTGGGGAGCGCGCGTGGCTCGGGGAGGCAGCTCCGTGTCCCCCGCCACGGCAGAGGCCGGGCTGGAGGTGCCCGGGCCGGGCTCCCCTGATGCCCGGCGCGGTCCCTCGGCGGCGCGGGTGTGCTGGGCGCTCCTGCCCGCTGGCGGGCGGCCTGCGCGGCCCGGCCTGGCCCGGTCCGGCTCATCCGCGGCGCCTGCGCCGGGCCGCCGAGCGGCCCCAGCCCGGGCCGCCTCCCGCCGCAGCATGCGGGCGTGGAACGGCCCTGCCGCCCGGCCCGGAGCTCAGCGCCCTTCTGCCCGCAAGGGGAGAGGCGGGAGCCTGGGCCCGGCCCGAGGTGAGGGGGCGGCGGGGCTGGCACTTACCCGCCGGACACCGGCCTTGAAATCGCGCCGTATAAGCGAGGGTAAATCATGCCTTGTTGTTGGCGCTTTTAGGGCTTGGGGGCGTTTCTGCGTATTTCTGTCCGTCAGGAAGTCCCCTGCAGCGGGGAGATGCCGCCGTGTCCTCCCGGTTGTTCCGGCTGAGCGGCTCCCGCGGGCCGTCCCGCGCCCCTCCGCGCCCACAGCCGCCGCCCGCTCGCTGCGGCCGCGCTGCGCTCCGGGCAGCGCCCGTGCCAGCCTGTCCTGCGGACACTCCTCCTCACCCATTGTCCTCCAGAGGTGTTACCTCCAGATCCGCACGCTGTGGAGAGCAGAGCGCGTGTTTTGGCAGGGCAGTAGCCGGGGCAGACGCTGTTGTGTGGTTGTAGTTCCTTCTTCGCTAATCTCGCGTCTCGGATCTTCCCACGCTGAGGATCAGGCGGTGTTTCGGTTGCCTGGGGAGCTGATGGGAGAGGCACCAGCCTGGCTGCGGCCCCTGCCACCCGACCGCTGCTGGGCTGGCTGCGGTATGACTGCGTTCAGGCACGAGGTGCCAAGGTTCTAGCTTGCTCTGAAGGCTTTTGGGGCAGGGGAGTGGGAGGAATATGTTTCCAAAGTCGGCTTTATTTAATTTATTTTTTCTCTTTTTTGAGGGGTTGAAAACGTGATTGCAGAGAAGGCACTTTGTTGTCGCAGCCAGGAGTGGCTGGAGTAACCTAAAATAGAACTGGGTTAATCTATACAGTGCTACACAAATATCTTCCTCGTGAATTTGTGATTGATCTGCTTGAGAGCTTTCTGTAGGTTACTGATGTTTGAGGATGTACTCTGTTTGTGTCTTCTGCTTCTAGGATTTGGTTGACAACAATCTTAAATGTGGCAAGAGGGACTTTGGAAAGCTGACTTGTCTAGAAGGCAGAAGGGGGAAAACTTTGATGCTTGCTGCTCTGTTATTGAGTTAATGGCACACACTAAAATAATCGTGTTAGAAATAATTACAGTAATATAAATCTGGGATATTAAAAGTGACAAAATAGCGTTTTGTTATTTTGGGGCTTTTATTACATTTGCTTCAGTAAATATGTCACAGTTGGTGATTCCCAAATACATGAAACTAAAGTCCTAAGAGCAGAGAGTTGTTATTTATTGTTCTTCATAGGAACCGACCTGGCATCCTAGCTGGGATTGTTTAATAGCCAGGTAATGATTCAGGTAGTGATTCATGTAATGATAGCCAGGTTCAGGTTTGATTCAGGTGATGCCTGTCCAGAATTCATTTTGATTGTGTTCCTACTTCAGTTTCCTCTCCTGTCTGTCTGTCCGTGTGCGTGCCCGAGCTGTAGCTGCCCTCTGCAGCGTAGCTCTGTGCGTGGCTGTGCTGGGGCTGCTGTGACAGCGAGTGCAGTGTGTAAGGAGCAAGGAGGGAACAAAGAATTGCACTTGGGTGTGCTCTGAGTCACAGCTTGCTGCTCTACTCCAACACGTGTCTCACTGCTCTCTAAGGGACACCAGCTGTAGCCTGTATCGTCCTCTACCCAAAACTTGTCTCTGTTGAATATCCCAGATGTATTTTAATGAGTGTTTTTTAGTAAGTTTAGTTAAATTAGTGGTAGATCATTCCAGTAGAAAAAGCCTCTTAAGTATTAGTACCTGCTGCATGAAGTCTCATATTGACTCTTGGATTACTTTATTTTCCTGTAATCTTTGTAAAATCTTGTTTGCTGCTCTTTGTCTGGAGGCTGAAATACTCAAATGAATTCCAGCAGATGAAAGGAAAAATCCCACAGTGGAGCATGCCATATCTACTCTTGATCTGAGAGATTAACCTATAGTAATAGGAGCCTAATTAATTATTCCCTGTTTTCTCCCTGTCATTGTGTATTAATTCCTGAGGTAACTTTAAAGTTTGCTTCAAGTTTTTAGATTAGGTTTTATATGCTCAAGCAATTTATGAGCAGTCCAACTACTTGAGACTATGACTGTGTCAACTGACTTGCTACATTCTGTGTGGTCTCCATTAATGCTGATCAGTATTTAATCTCATTCTATTTTAACTTGCACTTTTTTAGAAAGAGGCAGAATATTGTGTGTCAGTGTCTACTGGATTGCCCTGTAAGTTAAGTTATTTTCAAGATGTTTCTTGACATTTGAAAATAAGTCCTTAGAATATTGCCCACAGGAAAACATGATTTTTAGATACATATGACTTTTCTGTTTTGTTTTGTTTTAAATGTGCAGGGGTTTTTGTGCTTGAGCACTGAATGAGTGCAGCAGAAAATAACCATTTTGTAGCTCTCAACTGTGAAAATGTCTTTGTCCTCTGATTCTGCTCCTGTTTTTTAGAGGCAGGATTATGTATGTTGTGTGACTCATTGCTGTTTTCCTCTTCTGTAGTTTGCTCCTGCTAGACGCATTATGCTGTATTTGTTCTGTGTTGTAATAAAGTGTGATTTACAAAATGTCTTTGTTATTGTATATGTAGAAAAAAATGTTGCACCTGGATCCACCCTGCTAAGTCCAGCCTTATAAGGTCTCTCACATTCTAAATAGCTCCTTTTGCTCACTGCCAGAAAGGCCTTGGGCACAAAACATTTAGTAAACACTAAGAAAAAGGTATGACCTTTAAACAACTCCCCCAGTCCTCACAAATTATTTGCTTTGAATGTTTTAGTAGTATACCCCTTTAATTATTGCTTTAAAAGGCCAACTTTATAATGAATACTACTTCTAGATTTTAAAAAGAAGCTAATATTTTTAGGGTTGTGGAAGCATGCTTGGTTTTAGCAGGTGGGTTTTACGGCTCAGAGTACAGATCACAGACTTGAAGGGTGAAGCAGAGGAAACATGCAGATCTGAGGAATACTCTTGGGTTAGGGTTTCAGGTATTGCTGCTAGGTTTTCATGCTAAAAACCTTGCATTCTCAAGTATTGAAATGTATACAAATGAAATCTTCATGCAGAGAGATTCTTTGTAAGGACAGTTTGTTAGCAAGTGGAATTTGAAGGGCATAGACCCTTCTGGTCAAGACCTTTCTATATTGTCTTTGGAGTGGTGGTTTTTCACAGCAATGAGAAAGCTCTTTGCACCTAAGCCTCCATTTTCTTTATGAACCAATGACAGCCCTAGTATAAATAATACTGCTTTAAAATTATTTGAAGTTTTACCCATATACATGAGACCTGATTTTTGTGATCAAAAAGATCTGTATAACATCTTCAGAAATGCAGCTTTGCAGCTTCACTTAACTCACAGAGAGAGAAGTACTGTGAAGGCAAGAAACCCGCACAGGCCTTTCCAGTTTAAAAATAAACATCTGAAGTACATGTTTGGTTTTGTATTTGAGAAATTGCTAACTTAAAATTACCATTCCGTGTAACATAAAACAGATGTTGACATTACAAAAGTCTGTTTTTGCTAAAGCAGAATTTAGTGTTCAAAAAGGAAATGAAAATAATGGTGACAATTAGTCAGTGATAAAGATAATCTCAAACCAAGGGAACCAAAACAGTTTGACCACCTGAACAGGATAATTGTCATGCTCCTCTGGATTTTTCTGTCTTGGCTTTTCTATGGATTTGCTCTGAGCCTCATAAAGTAAGTTCCTCCACCCTTGCCACACTTCTCCCCAAATGCACTAAGTATTCCCATTTTTCAGTTTAGAAAAACCCAATCCAACCAAAACACCACCACATGCAGGGAGAAGCAAAAGTATTTTTTCCCACATCTATGCAAAACACCAGATGTGTGTACATAAGTGGAAAGGTATGTGGGTGGGATCATGGGCTTGCATTTGTGACTTGCAGACAAAATCATCAATCTGTAGGCCTAAGTGACTGTCTCGGAGTCCTATCCACAGCCTGTTTGTGGGGCAAGGTTAAGTCATTCTGGGGGAGAATAAGGTCTTTTGATCCTTTTCCTGGCTCAACTGAATTTTGATTTGCATGTCACTTTTGTGCTGGCCTCACCTTTTTCTTATCCATCAGACTGACAAAATTGTCATTGTGGGTGCAGTTAAAAATATCTTCGACTGTGCCTGTGCTTACATATAGCTGAACCTCGGTGTACAGACTTACCCTCCTGTCTTTAAAGTCCTCCTGGTATAAGTTTGTCTCCACTAGACTGACATAGTCAATACAGAAGTCTAACATTGAATGGTTTTCTTTGCATAGTCTGTTGTAGTCTGTGTGGCAGGCTGCACTGGGGCAGATGTGTTGATCTGATGTGTGAAAAGGTCGGGTTTCCTGACCTGCCAGCTTGTCATGGCAGCACCCTGAGCTCTGTATTGTTTTTCTGCTTCCCACATAGGACCTGAGCTCAGACTTGTGTCTTTTTACAGGTGCAGAGTAGCTTGGAAAAAGAGGTTTCATGCTTAAAGGTCAACTTTCATAAAAATGGGAAACTTTTTTCCTCCCAGCTTCTAAGTGTGAGATATAATTCAGCGTGTCATCATATAGATGTATCTGACCAGACAGAGGAGAATTCAGATCTTAGTCAGCACACAAGAATGTCAGAGGAAAGCTTTTAATAGGAGCCTTTGGTTTCAGTGTTGTTACCTTTGCATATCCTTTGTGCTGTCAAGTTCAGCATAATTGCTACAAGTTGAGCAACCAAGTTCCTCCCTTCCCAGCCATTCTCACTCGCAGTTTTAGAGCCTTTCTGTTCAAGGCAGAGCATGAGAAGGACAACAAATCCTGAGGTGTTTTTGTTCTGCTTCTGCCCTGATTTGCTTGGTATCTCTGGCTATAACTTGTGTTGGACAAACCTGTTTACTGAGTAGAAGTTTCTGTGTGCTGCCTGCTGCCAAATATCTGGGTTGCAGGCGTGCCTAAATAGTAGGATGAGTAGAACTCTATTTAAATCCTCTTTTTACATTGTGTGGACTGTAACAGTAAAAAATAAACTGACCCAAGCAGGAGACTGCATAAACAACTGCTCAGAATGATACCTGGATAACCTGTCAGACAAAGATACCAGTATTTATTTTGCAACAGACAGCGTGAAAGATTTAAACCTGAAGGTCATAAACCAAGGACTGGGATTTTGGAAGATTAAAAAAAAAAATTAAAAACTAGTAGTGTAGTTTTAAATGCCACATATATTTTACAGCAGTTTACTTCTGTCTTCCTTCTTTCCCTGCTGAAGACTATACATTTCTAAATGAAAAAGATCTTGAATTGGTCAAAGTACAAACTACAATTGTCCTGGTAAAAGTACGGTTTGACTGGGGATAACATTAGTAAAAAGCTTGGCAAAGCTGATTTTTCTCCATTGCTGCCAAGCTTTTTTTTTAGCTCAATTGTTCATTATTTCACCAAACTAAATAAAACATTGACCCTCAGGTAATCCTAGTGAGCAGAATTCCCCTGTGGTGTATGTGACGCTGGATCATCCTGAAAGACAAGAAGACAAGTGAGCTGCACTGGTGCAGTTTGGGGCTCGGTGCCTGCTCAGGGTGTCTGTTAAGAGCAGAGTTTGCTGAAACTCCAAATAGCCTGGTGCTCAGCACACAAACCCTTGGGAGCCAGCTCAGAGACACAGAGGCATCATTTGTTTGCTATATGTGAGGCGTTACAGGGAAAGACAAGTTTGTGGACAGTTGCAGAAAGAAAAAGAAATCCTTCCTTAAATGAATCTTAGCAAAGGTGAAATCACTTCCCCTGGTATTTTTATCTCAGTTTTGCCAGATAGAGGTGGTGAAGTCCTAGGCCTTGTACACATGTGTGAGCTTTTACTGTTTTGTATTTATAACCACTTGCCAGTCTTTTGGGTCTGTTCTGTGTTTAAATTTTGTACAAAATGTCAGCTTGATATACAGACCTTCAGATAGATTTACATTTTATTCTTTTAAATGAGTGGACACTGTGCTGCCCCGGTGGCCAAGGAAGGCAATGGCACCCTGGCTTGTGTCAGACAGTGTGGCCAGCAGGACCAGGACAGTGATCATACCCTTGTACTTGGACTGGTGAAGCCACACCTTGAATCTGCTTTGAGCCCTTCCCTGGCCTCAAAACCAGAGCTGGAGCATATCCAGAGAAGGGCAGCAAAGCTGGTGAAGGGGCTGAAGAATAAGTCCTGTGAGGAGTGGCTGAGGGAAGTGGTGTTGTTTAGCCCGAAGCAAAGGAGGTTCAGGGGGGATCTTACTACTCTTCAACTCCCTGAAAGAAGGTTTTAGCCAAGTGAGGGTCGGCTTCTTCTCCCAGGTGACAAATGACAGGACAAAAGAAAATGGCCTTAACTTGGATCAGGGGAGATTTAGATTGAATGTGCTGAAAAATCTCTACACCAAAGGGATTGTTGAGTATTGGTAATGGTTCCCCAGGGAAGTGGCTGAGTCACCATCCTTGGGGGTATTGAAAACGTGTAGATGTGGCACTGAGGGATAGATATCGTTTAGTGGTGGACTTGGGTTAATGCTGGGCTCAATGATCTTAAAGGAGTTTTCCAGCCTGAGTGCTGTGATTCAATGAAATCATGATTCATTGTGGATTCATGTAGGTGATCTGGCAGTATGCTTATTCTGCAGCAAAAGATTGTCTCCCTGCATCACTTACACAAGTCCATCTTTTGCTTCTGCAGCCTTCTAGTAAATGCTTTAAATTCTCTTACCTCTCCAGTGTGTTTGGTGTGCTCTGCTGTTGTCCATTGAGTTGCAGCTTGGTCCTGTTCTAGAGGCTGTGGCATTTACAGAACTTTCATTCTGGGAGCATAGCCCAGTGTAACCTTGAATGTTAAGAACTTCTTGAGATTGATCTTTCACTACAGACTATTCTGAAGTACAGTAAAGATCTCACAAAAATCAGTCTTTGCTTAGTTGCATTGTTTGCTTAATTGCAAGCTTTGGGCCTCCCAACTAGAGGGAGGGTGTTTACTTGACAATACCAGCTCAGGCAAGGTACAGATGCTAAGACTTGTCATCATAATCTTGAAAGTGAGCATGTTACAGCAAATAATATATCCCTTGCAAATATGTTGATCGTAATAACTTTAGTTATGTTCTTCTGAGTTTTCTTTCTTGTTGTTTGTCGGTATGATACATGGGGTTTTTTCCCCCTCCAGGATTAAAAGAAACAATTGTTTGTTGCGTTGACTTTTTTTCTTTTTCATTGAAAAACACCGAAGCCCCCCAAACTCTGATATCTGTCTTCAGTTCCATTATGTGCATATGGCTTTGCTGAGAGATTAGCCTCTTGAAGACAGTTTAGTGTTAATTGACTCATTGCCTCCGTATTTTCATTTTGTCTGAGAGTTGCTAACACATCCCACACTTTGCAAATTCTGATCTAATCTTGATTCTATATCTTGATTATTTTTAAAATAAAAATCTCCTTTAAGAATAATTTAAGTTATCAATAGTCAAAATATATCAGAATCCTCAAGTGTAATTTTTACTTTGTTGCTGGGGCTTTTAAATTAAAGTTGACCCTATTGTGCTTATTGTTTTAAAGCACAAATATTTGGTTAGCCTAATGTTGTCTCTTACTGGGATTTCAGCAAGACTTTCATTGCAGCTTAAGTTAGGAACAAAATTTCCGGAAAACAGAATGTTTCATCTGGATTCTTCTCAAATTCAGATGTGTCTTGTGGTTAAGCATGAAGGAGAAAAAGTGTTGGGGCACTAATAGTTACTGAGTTTCCAAGGAGGTTACTTTCCTCTGTTCACACACTTTCTTGTGTTCCTCTGAACTGTTGAATTTGGTCATTTTGTTTTTGTGCTGGGTAAAAGTCTGGAGAAGAGCACTGGTTTCTATATAGTGTCACAATTTGACATGAATATGTCAAAATGCCTGGTTGTGCTAGTGTCAGAGTATAAAACAAATGAGACAGCACTTGCAGGAAGTTTTTCATCAATGCTCTCAGTTCCCCCCTTCCTTGCTTTTTTTCCGCTGCTTTTTCTTTACATTCAAAGAGCTGATAGATTTTTCATATCAAAATGCTGGCTTTTCCATATTTTACTTTTTTTAAAATTTAAGGCTCAGTGGTATTGATTTTTCTTATTGCACATTCTTTGCATCTCTGGCAGAAGTCCTGGAGGGGATTTGGGAGCGAAGAAGAAGAAAAAGAAGCAGAAGAGAAAAAAGGAGAAACCAAATTCTGGAGGCACCAAATCAGATTCTGCATCTGACTCCCAGGAAATTAAAATTCAACAACCTTCAAAAGTGAGAGCCTGGTTCTGTTTTAATTTGTGCGTGCTTTCTAATTTAATTTTAATTTGCATGTCACTTGTTGTTAAAGTGAGTTGGTAGTTCTGCCTTAGTGTGTGAAATTAAGCAAATGGTTCCTGTCCTGAACAGAGAGAAGCAAGCCAAGACCTGGTGTTTCAGAGGTGCTATTGCCACCACAGTGGTGTACTGTGAGAAGTGCAGAGGGGTTTTGTCTTTCTCTTTGAGCAGTTAGAGCTTGGGCTAGTGACAGCCTCATTGCATAGAATCATAATCTGTGATATAATGCTTTTAAATAGATTTTGCATTTGATGAATTGCCTTAAGTTTTTAGCCACCATCTAACTTGGCTTAGTGCAGTTTTGGTCGCTTGTGCAGCACGAAGCTCTCTCAGCAGCAGCAGCAGGAGGGAAGGTGGGGCTGCTGTGCTAACCAGAGTCTCTTTAGGGCAAGCAAGCAACATGTATTTGTACATAAAATGCATTAATCTTAAATATGGAGATAAGGGCTGAAGAAAAATTTTGCTTTCAGAAAGCTTCCACTATAATTAAGAATGCAAAATTGCTTGTGGGAACGTACAGTCCTTGTGGATTTTCTGATAAAATAGCATTGTCTGTGTGTGCTTTTGTCTATCATGTTCTGAATGAGAAGTGAATAACATGGTGTGGTGCCTTTTTAACATACAGCTTTTACCCCAAGAGAAATCTGAGTGCAAGAACTAAAGTTTGTAAAACTAAGAAAGTTTATGGACTGTTGAGCATATTGAGGTAGTTATATTTGCTTTATCTGATTATTGTGGAGAATTTTACACCGTTATACCAACAGGAGTCTTTGTCCTGTAAGATTTGTCAAGTACATTGGGGCTAGCAACTAATTATTTTATGGGGAAAAGATTATGTTCTGGCTCATTAGCATAGTGCTAGATTTTTGTGTTGTCCCTTTAGATCTTTTCCATGTTATCCTGATTGCTTTGCACAGGCACATTTGGCACAGGGGACACTTTATAATATGTAGAGAGGTCTTAAGTACTCTGCCACATGTTTTGATACTGTCTTTCTGTAAAACATGTCATGAACTGCTAATACAGGAAGGCTGTTGGCAAATGATGCACAAGTAACCTCACACTCTTACAACTGGCATGAGGTAAATTTTTGTGTTAACATAAAGGCATAGTTCATTGCTACAGTATCCTATGAATTTCTTGATTTTCTGCCGACTAGGTTATTGTTCCATGTGTTGCCTCTAATTACATTTAAAGAAAGCTACTTTATAGCTTTTTGCCTGCAAGATTTTAGTCCTGCACCTTGCAGTCTTGCACACCATTTCTCTGATGTAATGTGTGGTGCAAATGTGGAAGCCTAGCCTTGTTCCAAGTTGTGTGCTTAGGGTGGCACTGTTCATGATTATTTTACTGACACAAGTTTAGTCAGTTCATTAGTAACTCACAAAATTTTCTATTTTATTGGCATGAAGAAGTTCTTATATAAGATTTTCTTTCAAGCTCTAGGCAGCTAAACCATTTTACTCTTCTTTTATGGCTTTCACTTTTCTCTAGTTACAAATGCATCAACATCGCCTGGGGGGTTATTGTGCCTTCGCTGCTGTGTTGCAGGTCTGTCCTAGACAACTATTCTGTTACAGATTTTTTGAAAGCATCTTAGACTGCTGATCTGGATCTGTGTGGAAAAGTAAATTTTTTTTTTTCTGCTACTCAAGTAATACTTAAATTTTGTATTCATGTGCTGTATGAAATTTAATACAGAAAACAGGCTTCTAGTGTTTGCTTGCTCTTGGTTGAAAAGAATATATTTTAGGGGAGAATGACATTGTAGACCTTACTTCTAAGAGACTGTATGCAAGATCATCAGGCAGAACTCAGTGGGGCTCATTGAAAAGGATTTTGAAAAAGGATTTTGAGATCATGTGAGTTTATAAACAGATCTGTCAGTCTGGGGATGAGTAAAGCAGAACAGTGAGTCTCCTTGGCTTCTTCCTTCCTCATGGGTGGTGAACTCATGAGGAAGACCTTTTGAACTCTGGTGTGAGTGTAGTCATAGCAGTAA